GTGCCAGGGACGGCCCCCCCTTTGCCCGGCCGACCGGGGCCTGACCAGAACCTGGGGGGCTGAGGCCCGCCAGGCGCCGGAGACGTCCGACACTCATCTGGCCTCATCCCTGCCCCCCTTTACTCGGGGCTCTGCACCTGTGTCACTCGCCTGCACGTCCCCATCTCACAGGCAGCTTCCGCAGAGCTCTGGAGCTGGTGACACACAGGACCTGCCTGTGGAGGCCAGGGAAGGGCAAGCAGAGCCGGGCGCCTTCCGAAACTGGCCCTCCTGCAAGCCCGAGAGCCTCTCCCGAGGCTTCAGACGACACATGGAGCCACAGTACCTTTATTCACATCGTGTATTTTGGCGTGTTCCAGAGAAGGGCAGGGAAGAGACGGGGGAAGGCTGAGGCGGGAGGGCCGGGGGTCCCCACGTCCCTCCTTGCCAACCGCACAGGGCAAACACAACAGGGGAGGGGAGGCACAGACGCTCCCCTCCCGGAAGAGGATGCACAGAGCTACACCCACACGCACACGCACACACAAGACCCTTCCCCTCCACGCAGGGGCTGGGCAGGGTTACACAGAGAAGCAGAGTGGGCGGATTCCAGGGTCAGGGAAGCCCCCGCATCTCCTCGCAGCCCGGCACTCCCGGCACTCGGCCGCCGCCCCTCCTGCTCCATCCCCAGTCTGTAAAGTGCCCCTCCGCCTTGCTTTGCTGGCCATTCCCTGATGGCCTCCGGCTTCTTCCCTGCTGCCGGGACAAAAAGAAAAAGGGGACAGAGCAGGCGGGCTGATGTCTGCCCTCAGCCCTATCCCTCATGCCGGGTGGTCTGCCGCTGCCCTCCGTGGTAAGGGGTGAGGGCAGGCTCTTAGCTGGCCACTCTCTGGTAGAAGTAGATGTAGCCCAGGTCCTTGGGTGGCTTCTCAGAGGCACACACTTTCTGGTCATTGTAGATCACCCATCTGGAGAGGGGAGGGACAGGATAACGACCTGAGCATCCAAGCCACACCAGGGCAGCGGTGGACGACAGCCTCCAGGCAACCGTGGTGGCTCTGGAGCCGAGGCTCCCCACGCTTTGGCTGGGCCCCAGGCTCACAGTCCGGCTGCCACCCACTTGGAGGGGGCTTCACCGTCTCCCAAGGGCCACCGTCCCGCTGGATGTGCTCAGACCCAGCATCTTCACGACCACCGCCACCCATTCCCGTGAGGCAGGGGTTGGCAAACTCTCTAAGAGCCCAAGTACACATTTTTGGTTCTGCAGGCCATCTGGTCTCTGACGCAACTACTCAACTTGCCCGCTGCACGTGAAAGCAGTCACAGACAAGACACGCAAGTTAAGTGTGGCCAGGTTCCAGTAGGGCTTTGCTCACAAAGGCAGGTGGTAGATTGAGCCCTTGAGCTGTAGCAAGCCAGCCTCTGCCACGGGACACTCTCCTCTCTCTGGTGCAGTCACGCCCCGTCAGACAGCCCTCCACCTTCTTCTGTAAACATTCTAAGGACTTCCAGGATGGCCCTCCTCATTCCTACCGCCACGTCTCCATCACAGTGCACACTGCCAGCCCCTCACCTGCCTTCCTTCTTGATGTGGCAGACGTAGTGCCCACACATGGTAGAGGTGCCCATGTGACTAATGAAGGCAAAGAGCTGATACTCTGGGGAGGGGAGAGACAGAGGGCAGAGAAGGAACAGGAGAGGAGGCCTTGAGTGACGGTCCAGAGACCAACCTCGCAGCCCACACTCAGGACGGAAGTAGCAGGGACTGCAGGGTGTGGACTGGGCCAACGGCCGCCTCAGCCTCCTAGAACCCACCCTCCGAGTCCCACCAGTGGAAAGAAGCCCGAGTCCGGAAAGCAGAGCTGCTCTGGGGCGGGGCATCTGGTGTGGACGGCCAGACGCCACCAGGCCTGTCCTGCTTCCTGGGACACTCACTTCCAGGGCCATCCCGGACTTTAGGTCCCACTGGCACGGACTCAGAGATGGAGTCGGCGGCCGAGCGGCCCTCTGAGATGTCCATGGCAGCCTCGGCGTCTAGGTCGTCGATGTGACTGAAGATCCAGTCCACAGCCCGTTCTAAACTATTGTTCTTGGAGAGGAGGGAAGCGTTACTTTTTCTAACGTGATCTCGGGCAAGGAAGCAGCAGTCAGAGCGAGCCTCGGCTCCGTCACCGCAGCGACAGAAGGGTGGCGCCCCACTTGGCCGCAACATACTGCCGCCTCCACCTTGCTGGTGAAGGACGCACCCACATGCCCACCCCTCTTCTTCACCGGCCCATGGACTTGCTGCACCAGCCCATACCGTGGCCCGCAGAGCTTTGAGGGCCTGGTCCCGGGAGAAGCCCATGGAGACGATGGTGGTCACACAGTCCTCTGGCGGGGGGTCGGCAGCAGCACTTGTAGAGCCAGGCCCACTGGAGCCAGGCAGGACGAGGGGGTTAGCGAAATCTGCGGACGTGAGAGGATGAAGCATGTGGGGCGGACGGGGCCCTGCCCACCCCGCCCCCCACGGCTGCCTACCTGGATCGTCCATGTGCGACATGACCCAGTTCATGGCGGCCTCGGCCCCACTGTTGCCAGTGTAGTAGACAGCTTTGCGGCAGGCGTCCATCGGGAAGCCCATCTCCACCAGCTGGATAATGACCGACTCATCCAGCATGGGGGCTGTGAATTGGGGCCGGGGACTGATTACCGGGCCCATGGCTTGCCGGGCCTCCCTCCCACGGGTCAGGCCCCCAGCCCTCTCCCAATCACGCATTCCACGTATCCATCGTCCGTGGACTGGCACCTTCCCCCAGAACTAAAAGGAACAGACCACGTGGTGGGGGTCCCTGCCACTCGCACAAAACGGACACTGCTGCTGGAGCATGACCCCCCCCGCACCCTACCCGAACCCAGGAGGAAACGGAGCAGGGCAGTGGTGAGCCCGTGCTCCTCCAGCCACCTGAGAATGTGGCCGGGGTGCTGCGGTTGGGCCCCATGTCCCCCCAAGGAGGGAGAGGAAACTGAAAGGGAGGACAGGAGAAACACAGAGGACAGGGCGGGCAGGCAGGCAGAGGCCCCGGAAGCGAGGGAGACAGGCAGGAAGAAGAGTCACTAACATGTCGGAGAGGAGAAGTGAGGGGAGCAGAAGGAGTCTTCGTCTTCGTTGCCATAGAAACCAAGGCTACCTTTGGGCTCGTCCGGAGTGACCAGGGGTGGAGCAATGTCCGGCAGCTCCTCCTCTCCCGGCTGCAGCCCTGTGCCCCTCAGCTGGGAGATGTCAAGTTCCTCTGGCATCTCGATGGACACGTCTATAGGAAAAGGGCCACCTCAGCAGCTCCCCGAGGCCCGCCTGGAGAAGCTCTTTGGGAGCCCACGCCTGACCCGTCTCTCAGATCCATTCTGTCGCAAGAACTGCTACGAAGCCGGGCTCAACGGCTCAACCTGTAATCCCAGCACTGGGAGGCCGAGGTGAGTGGACTGCCTGAGCCCGCGGGTTCAAGACCCGTCTGGGCAACTTGGCGAGACCTCATCTCTACAATAAATCAAAAATCAGTCGGGCATGGTAGCGCGCCTGTAGTTCCAGCTACTCAGAAGGCTGAGGCGGAAGGATCGCCAGAGCCCAGCAGGTCGAGGCTACGGTGGCCGGGAGCGGCCCCTGCACTCCAGTCGGGGCAACAGAGTGAGACTCCAAATCAAAAAAAAAAAAAACTGCTATGAGCAGTAGCAATCTTAGCAGGTCCCAGTGTAAGAAGAGTGGGGTGCTAAGCCCAGATCTACCACGGATGAGCCACAGACAAGGCAGGGGGCCTAGAGCTTGGGAGGCAGATCTCTGTACTTCTGTGGGTCCCAACCTCCTTATCCAGAAAGTGAAGGTAAATCATTCGTTCTGCAATTACAGTCGGGGACCTATAAGACTCATGCGAACTCCTTCAAGTTCATCAAAACAAAAACATCCTGCCGATTATACAAATCAAACTACAAAAATTGCTTTTGGTTGTAAATCATACCTCTATAATCACACAAGCTTTTTAATATTTCTAGTCAGAGCTTTCCAAACTAAATGCATTTGAAAACATCCAAGGTGATATTTTTCCCCTTTCAGAGGAAGGTTTGAGAAGCACCAGTTTACATGTGTCAAGTACCCTTCTTCCTCTAGCACCTCCCACGTAACTTCCCCCATTCCGGCAACCATACCCAGTTTCTTGGGCACCCAATCTAAGCCGAAGGTGAACTTCTTGATCTGGATGACCAGGTAGTCAGGGAACGAGGCAAATCGTGTGGTCCTAGGGAGGAGAGAATGCGCTGGCACCCAGGAACTCCCAGGGCCCTCCTCTCCTGAACCCCCACCCTGGGCTCAGCCTCTCATGGGCAGAAGTCCAACAGCCCGGGAGACACTCCGCATGCTTCCCTGCCCCCAGACAGGCATCTGATCCGGTCCTCGGTCAGCCAGGACCAGCAAAAACCAGGAGGGCTGTTTCACAGGCAGGAGCAGCAAAGGGCTGCTTGCTGACTCCCTGAGACCAAAGTCCTCCTTCAAGGCTCATGCCCCTGGCCAGGCAGAAAGCAGCCACCTGCTGAAAGTCCAAGCTCCACCCACAGCTAAAACTAAGTACCTGAGTTCTCCATGATCGAGGGAGGAGCAAAGAGGCTGCGCTACAGAAGAGACTTGCACCATGAGGGAAGTGGAAGGGATCAGGCAGGACCAGGCGACAGGCGGTCAGTCACTGCCTGGGACCACCCTTGCCGGGGCTTCTTGGTTCCCTCGGGGCTGGACTACCAGCCCCAACCGAGTCTACCCTGAGATTCCACACAAAGGGACGAAGTGACAGAAAAGGGTGGAACTGTCTCTGGGCCTCGCCAACTGCAGGCCCCGAGCCCTGGGCCCGGCCACAGGACTTACTTGACGGCTACTGACTTGGCCTGAAGGGCTGTGCTCCAGAAGTCATCCACCTGCTCAGGCGCCCCATAGGCCTCCAGGCAGGAGCTGAAGGGCACCTGGGCCCGAACCAGCTCTGGCGGTGGTAACTTCTCCTCCTCAGCTTGCCGCTTCTTCTCCTCATACTCCAGAAGCTCCTCTGGGGACAGAGCAGGTCGGCGGTTCCTTGGGGTGCCGTCTCGCCCCTCCCTGGTCTCAGCTACTGACTCTGTGTCCGTGACCACTCCAGTTCCCCTGCCCTCCCAAGTCTTGCCTCTGTTTTGCCTCTGTCTTGCCTCTGTCTCTCCGCAGCGCTACCAACGAGCTGTGATGCCCCTCGGCGCGCGAGGTGAAGCCTGCCCACCCGGCAGCCCCGCTGCAGACCTCTGGCTGGTGGCGCAGGCCCGCCGCGGTCTGCTCCCACCCGGCGCCCCAGCATGCCCTCAGCCTCCAGCAGCAGCTCGCTGGCAGGGCAGCCTACCTTTGTTAAGGGCCGCATCCATGGGCACGGGCAGCTGCATGATGTAGTCAACTCTCTGGGTGTACTTCACCTTCTCCGTGGCCAGGCACTTGATCTTCTCCTCCACCAAGAAGCGGAACACTTCATTGGGGTTTTCGGAGCTCCGGCAATTCCTCTACGGGAAAGAGGCAGAGCAGGGAAGCCTGGGCAGCAGGGAACGATGGGGCATCAGAGGCTCACGGGAGCCGGGGAGACTAGCTCAGTCGCACAGGGATGCAAGAGCAGAGCAGAAGCCGCCCGCCGCTGACCAGCCCGCCCCACTTCTGGCCTCCTCCCAGCACTGTGGGACTGTGCGCGACTGCTTGCATTCTCCTTAAAAGCTGTGAGTGTTCTCGTAGCATCCTCTGTGGGCGTGCCCTTGACTGGGCTGGAATCCCCCGGTCTCCTCAGGGATGTGCGCGGCTCCCGGGGAAGGCCAGGGCATGTGGACTGTGGGGCGCAGGGTGGCACTTGGTTGGGGCTGACGGGAAGACACAGGCAGGAGGAGAGGGGGCAAGCTGGAGGCGGATGGGGCAGAGACTGCACCCCGCCCTCTCCTAAGCCTTACCTCCACCATGTTGATCAGGTGAAGGAAGAACTCCTGGGCGTCCTGCTGCCGGTTGGTGGAGAACTCGGGATGGCCCTTGCCGATGAGGGCCTTGAACATCCGGGGGGCGATGCCATCTTGAACGTCCTGGGCGGAGCAAGGGCAGGGACTCAGCCGGGCTCAGAGGCCACCGAGTGGCCTTCCTCGGGCCCTTCCCAGTTCTCAGAGGCCCGGGGTCCCAGAGCCGGAAAGGGCTGGGGTCCCAGACACACCTTTTGCTCTGGCGCCTGCTCCCCTTCGCCTGACTCCGGAGCCGGCTTGGAATGCTCCCCCGAGAGAAGGCCATGACCCAGCTTGGCCCTGCGTTGACATCCGAGAACGCCACTTCGTGGCTGGCAACTCGCGACCCTCCCATCCACCTACATCCTGTGCCCCCAGCTCAACCCCGCCCACGTTCTCCTTCCACAGCTCCCTGAAAAGTGGAGAACCACAGGTCCCAGAGGAACTCAGCTCAAGACGGACCACACGCCCACAGGGCGGGCTCCCAAGTGCCTGTAACTGCTGACCACCCCGGAGGACAACGGAGGCATGCGGGCTGTGAGGCTCTCAACGGCCTTCACACGGAGGGCCGAGCTACATACACCTGGGTGCTGAAGTCTTGGGTAGGGTCCGTCGGGGCATTCTGGAAGATCTTCTCCAGCTTATCCACATACCTAGAAGTCAAGGGAAAGGAGCTAGAGGAGCCTGGCCTGAGCACCAAGGCAAAGGTGAGGGAGCCATCATCTATCAACTCCACGGACAGCCCCCCAAGGGTGGGAATTGTGGTGGGCGAACCCTGGAGCCTGTCCTCTCCAGCAACCTGCCCATTCCCCCTCTCAACTCTGCCTAGTGTGCAGTGTGCTTGGAGGGATTCTTAGACACCTGCTGTTCTTCCCCATCCCGGGCCTGCACTCCCCGAATCAAAGCCAGAGAAGGGGAGAGGGCAGCCTGGAATTAGGATCAATGCAGCTCACATTCTACTGGGCATCTGAAGCGTTCGTTCTGGTTGTTTCCCAATCTGACAACCAAATCATTTCTGCTGAGGAATGGCCCTTCTCTCAGTGTCCCCAGCCCCCCCCCCCAAGTGCCACACGCCCAGGCCAGGCGCTCGTCTGAGGCCACCAGCCTGGAATAAAGACCACCCGCTAGCCCCCAAGTCCACCGAAGGCCGCGGAGCCCCAGGACCCGGGCTCGCGCTGTCGGCAGCGCTGAGTGTGCTGGCATGATGGGGGCACTGCCCCGTAGCTGGCTTCCCCCGGCGGGCCGGCTGTGGGTGACGGGAACTTCTAGGGCTGAGACTACGCAGAGGTGCCGAGGGCAGCTGAAGGTGTGCCCAGAGCTGGCCACCAGGAGAGGGACTGAGATACTGGGCGCGAGGACGGGGCGCCACTCACTTCCTCTGGAAGTCGGGGATGCTGAACAGCACCTGGACCACGGAGTTGAGGTAGCAGCTGTTACCCAAGTTCCGGATGCCTGTGTAGCCGGGCCCACTCAGGGGCTTCAGTGGCACACTGGACTCCTGGATCAGCTCCCACTCGCCAACCCGCTGGTTCATGTCTATCTCCAACTCGGTCATCGTCTTGTCCGTCTGTGTGGGAGGGGCACTTCAGACTGGGGGAGAAACCCAACGCTGTATTTTTTGCCTTAATCTCTCACCAAGTCTCAGCTGATACCCAGCCATGGTCTAGAATTTGTGGAAGTACAAGCTCAGACATGGGAGGTCTCTGCCTGAATAAGGGAATAAAATGAATGAGATTCCCTCTACCAGAAATGGTTTTCCAATTCTTTTTTTTCCTCTTTTTGAGTAGGAATCTCACTCTATTGCCCGGGCTGGAGTGCAGTGGCACGCTCACGGCCACCACAGCCTTGTTGACCCGCTGGGCTCAGGTGATTCTTCTGCCTCGGCCTTCCAAGTAATTGGAACCATAGGCATGCACCACAACGCCCAGCTAATTTTCTGATTTATTGTAGAGATGAGGTCTCACCAAGTTGCCCAGGTTGGTCTCGAACTCCTGGACTCAGGCAGCCCTCTCGCTTCTGCCTCCCAAAGTGCTGGGATTACAGGCATGAGCCACCAAGTCCAGCTGTTTTGTTTTGTTTTTTTTTAGTTGGAGTTTCACTCTGTTGCCCAGGCTGGAGTGCAGCAGCACACTCACGGCCACCACAGACTTGACCTGCTGGGCTCCGGTGATCCTTCCACCTCAGCTATCCAAGTAGCTGGAGTACAGACACACGCCACCACACCTGGCTAGTTTTCGTGACTAACTGTACAGATGAGGTCTCACCAACTTGCCCAGGATGTCTTGAACCCCTGGGCTCAGGCAATCATCTCAGGCTTGAGCCACCACACCCAGCCCAAAAGGTTTTTAAATCACAAATGAATGTTGATTTCATCACTTTTTTCTACATTTACTGAGATGATTGCATTATGTTTTAAATTATTTTATTTATTTATTTAGCTGGAGTCTCGCTGTGTTGCCCAGGCTGGAGTGCAGCGGCACTCTCATGGCCACCCCAGCCTCGACCGGCTGGGCTCCAGCGATCCTTCTGCCTGTCTTCAGGCAGGCGCTACCGGGCCCAGCTAGTTTTTATCTATTGTAGAGACAGAGTCTCACCACGTTGCCGGGCGGGCCTTGAGCCTGCGAGCTCAGGCCATCTCCTCGCCTCGGCCTCCCAAAGTGCTGGGATGACCGGCTGAAGCACCGAGCCCAGCCCCAGCTACTTTTCCAGCCCTAGGAAGACCCCTCCTGCCCCCTCAGATGGTCGCCGTGCGTCACTTCCTCAGAGAAGCGCCCTTGAGCCCCTAGGGTGGGCCCGGTCCCTTGCGAACTGTATTGTCAGCGAGTGCAGGGCGCAGCCTCCCACTCATCAGCTTGTAATTATTCACTTATTCATCTGAGGAGGCACTGATGCCTGACTTTCCTTCCAGAACATAGCAGAGCAGGAGAGCGAGGATCACGTCTCGCGTTCACAGCAACTAGTACACAGCAGATACTCAGCAGTATTCACTGAGTAGACAAATGATTTTAGAAACGTTTCCTTTTCTTTCTTCTCTTCTTTGAGTCAGAATCTCACTGTGTTGTCCAGGCTGGAGTGCAGCGGCACGCTCACGGCCACCCCAGCGACGACCTGCTGGGCTCTGGCAATCCTTCCACCTCAGCCTTCCAAGGAGCCGGAGCTATAGGCATGCGCTACCATGGCCAGCTAATTTTTTATTTATTGTGGAGACGAGGTCTCGCCAGGTTGCCCAGGCTGGTCTTAAACCACTGGGCTCAGGCAGCCCCCTCGCCTTGGCTTCCCAAAGTGCTGGGATTACAGGCTGAGCCACTGAGCCCGGCCTAGAAATGTTTTCAAAGGAAGCCCACTTATCTTGGGGACTGGGTTAATTGCAGAAGCTCCCCCCAAAACCCTACCTCTGCCTCAAGCAAAGAGGGGCCTCACGAGGGCAAGAACGAGAAGTCTGAAGCTGAAGGGGGTCTCACCTTCTGCATCTTCAGCATATCGATGCCAAAGTGGGAGAGGTGCTCAGCCAGGCTGGGGTCCAGGACCATGTCATCTTCATCGTATGAGTACACGTCTAGAGCAGAAGGCAGGAACCAGGTCAGGGGCAGTGGCTCAGGACTGGCCTGGCTACCCTCCCACCTCTTGTCCAGGGGGTCTTGGGCAGACAGAAGGATAGCCTGGAAGGGTCCCCCTCTTGATTGCCTTGAGTATGAGTAAGGTCACAGCCCTTATGGGATTAGCTGTCAGTGAAGACAGGTGAACAGGGTGAGGGCTGGAATCCACTTTGATTCAGATTCCACCCTGTAGAATGAGGAACTAGGATAAGATAGGTTTGGTAGGAATTAGGATCAGGGGAGAAGGCGGTCATCAGTTTTCCAGTTTTGCCTGCAGTATTTTTTTTTTGAGTCGGAGTCTAACTCTGTCACCCAGGATGGAGTGCAGTGGCATGCTCACGGCCACCACAGCCTTGACGTGCTGGGCTCAGGTGATCCTTCGGCCTCAGCCTTTCAAGTAGCTGGAACTATAGGCATGCACCACCATGCCTGGCTAATTTCTTGATTTACTGTAAAGATGAGGTTTCGCCAAGTTGCCCAGGCTGGTCTCAAACCCGCAGCCTCAGGCAATCCTCTCACCTCGGCCTCCCAAAGTGCTGGGATTACAGGCGTGAGCCTATTACCGCCCGGCCTATTTTCATTTTTTATCAAGAGAATGCATTCACATATCATTTGTGTCCATGAACAATGAAACACGTTCAAGTGTGGGGGGTCTGGAGGGAAGTACCAGCTCCATCAGGTGTGATGGTGCCCAGCTTGACAGCTAGTGGGTAGCCTGTCTCCCTGTAGTGCTCCACCGCGTGGTTGTTGCCTCCGCTGCCATCAAAGTAGCGTCGGCCGCAGAGGATAGAGCCATCTGTCAGGTTGAGCCACAGGTTCTCTCTCATGTCACACTTGGAGCACTTCCAGCCACTAACCCAGGGAGAAGAAAGGTAGCCAAGAGGTCGGCCAGGTGTGCATGGGAGCAGCAGAGTAGGGTGCTGCAGGCCCTGCTGGTCCAGGAGCTCTCCGGACACCCCAGGCCTTGGTCATCTCCCTCCCTGCAATGCTCCCTACCCTCTCCCCGACCAGATTTCCCAAAGGATGGTCTCTTCGCCTTTGCTCTGGGCTTACGTCCCAAGGCAGAGGGGCCAGGCCTCACCAGGGAGGGATTCGAGCAGGGTTGTCCAACTGCTTGAGGTTGAAGGCATGCTTAGACACCTGCCGAACTTCCCCATCCCAGGCCTGCACCTCCTGCTTGCGGGAGGCTGAGTCGGCCGAGAGCAGGGCCTCTACCGCACTGGTCACCTGGGGGAAGCAGAGGCTCAGAGACAGCACCCAACCCAGCTCCCCACATGCCCCTCTCCCCTCTGGCCTTCAGTTCTCAGGGTTTGCCCAGCACATCACCACCCAGCCATCTTGCCCTAGAGTCTTCGGCAGGGTAGGAAGGTGCTTGTACCCGATCTCTGACAATGTCAGGCAGCCCCCCCAGCCCATCTCGAGCAATCTCCAGGTAATCTGGCAGAATGACAATCTTCACGTCCTCGTCATATTCAAACTTTTCCTCAGTGAGGTCAAACCCGCCTTCAACACCTGGAGGAGCAGGGAAGAAAAAGGAGAGTCGGGCAACCTCCATGGGTCACTGTCCCTCACTGTCTCTTCGAGAGCTCTAGGCCCACTGATCAGGTCCACTCTGTCACCAACCTCGTGCCTCTGAGAGCTGAGCAGAAAAGACCAGCTCAGAGGGAAGAATAGGACTGCAGTGGTGCTCACCAATAGCCAGCCGGGTGGGCTTCTTCCGGGGTGGGTCTCCAGTGCCTGCAGTCGTGTCTTCCTCTTTCTGCAACGAAGCAGGAAGGGTGGGATCAGCAATGAACACCAAGGGAGAAACAAATGGGGAGGGTGGAGGGGGCAGAGTGGCCAATCTCAGAATAGAATGAAGCTGAAAAGCATCTGTGCCAAGTTTTAAAGACACAAACAAAAGTAGGTGGAAGGGAGAAATCAAGGCTAAGGGGAGTTCAGAATGGCGCAACCAGATTCAGAATGGGTGCCCGTGGAATGTGTCTGAATACACCAGCCCTTGCCCAGCCCTGTCTCTACCGGGCGCCGGGTCCGCCGGAGGTGCAGGTAGACTCGCTGGCCCGTCTTGTTGAAGTGTCTCTCCACATACTGTTTCCCAAAGCCCAGGAATGTGTTCATGCAGACGTAGAGGCCACCCTCGGACTCCTGCAGGACAAGAGGCAAGGCAGAAACACAAGGAGGATGAGGCCTGGCAGAGCAAGGGAGCCGAAGACCTAGAGTCAGCAACCACTAGGGTTCCGACCTCCAGCACCGTGTGGTCCTTGGCAAGTTAGATAGCCTTTTAGGACCTGGTACGTGGTTGAGATTCTTCCCACTTCCTCCTATAACTTTGGTAACTACCCACAAGGACAACAGGAGCTGAGCAACACTTATCAGTCACCATCCATCTTCCCTCTTGCTCCTTTTTGGGGCTCTGGAGTCCTCCGATCACTCACAGAGGACTTCCTTCGCCTCTTTCCAGGGGATAAGAGATCCAAAACGTAAATGGGGATCAAACGCTGCAGACTTCTAGTGCCGAGGTTACTCAGAGGCAAAAGAGGGCTTTCCACGTCACACACTGAACCCAGACTAGGGACACCCTATCTTATCTCCATGATTCGGAAAACCTTCCAGTCTGGAGGGGCAGAGAGTCCAGTGTCTGAACAGTCCATCTAACCCTGGAGCTTGCCAGCAAGCCCAGATCCCTCCTTCATCAGACTCTACCAGCTAGTCAAACCCTGGTCCCCACTGTGAATCTCCCTCCTCCCCTGCTGAAACCTTGCTCCAGGGAGCAATGCCTTGTGTAGGACTCACAGCTAAATCTGACCCGGTCTGGCAGCATCATGAAGTCCAGCAGTCTCTAACCACCACCTTCCCCGCCTCTCTGACCAGTAAGAAAGATCCCTGTGGACGTCTCATCAGCCTCACACCTCCACCTGTTCTTAGAACAAGCAGGCAACGCTTGCTGAAACAGCCAGAACACACATCACCCAAGAAGAAAACGGAAAGTGTCCACCCCGAATCACAGCTGAGGAGGGAGGACAGGCTTCGCCCAAAGCTAAGCAAGTCTTCCAGGGGCTCAATTAAGAGTGATGGAGAAGGTGGAGGAGGAAACTGGAGACAAGAAGAGTCCTCTCCCCTCAGATCCAAGGCTCTGAGCAACAACAACCATCTTGTTCCTGGAATAAAAGCCTCAGTGGCCTTGAAAATTTATCTGCTGTGATATTAAATATAAGGCATGGTCCAAGGTGTTCTTGGTTCCATAGATTGCTCTGTACCACTCCCTAGAACAGTGTGGACTGCAGTGTCCATGAACAAATAGAGCATTTCTCACCAGGGAGGTCAACTAGGCTCTTTCTACCATGAACTCAATTTGAAGATAATCAACTATGCTGGAATTCGGCTTGGTTAGCAAAGCAACTAGGCCACACTGGAGATCTCTTGACTTGGGTGAAAGAGAGAAAATGTCAGCAGATTACAAAAAAACCCTTTTGGATCATTCAAAGCAGTTGGTAAAGAGCAAGAGAGGAGTGAATCGAAGTGTACAGAGGGACCCACTGACTTTCACCATCTGCTAGTAATTAAGAAAAACCTTTTCCTCCTGGGAGGAATGAGGGAGATCTAAAGTGATCAAACTCCTCTGCTGGAAATAAAAGATGCCGCCTTCACCCAGGACTGGGAACCCTGGAGCTCTGCGCTCAGTGATCCTCTTTTACCTCTGCCAAAGCCTGGCTTCAGAGGAGCAGCACATCGCCCGGGCCCAGATCAAAGCCCGGCAAACCACGCAAACCGCCAGTCACAGCCATGATCCTGAACTGGGCCTCGGATCACGCCGCTCTACTCGGCACTGGTGATGCATTCATGAAGCCTTTCCACTCTGACTTGCAGTTTTCGGGCCATGAGCTGGCCTGGCGGGACACCCTGGACAGGGCCCAGCAGTTTGAGGGGAGGGGTGGCGAGGGGGGCGGGTCCGACCAGGCTGCTGCCCTCTCAGCTTGGGCCCTGGAGGGCCTCGGCTTGAGGGTGCCATGGGAAGGCAGGACTGCAGGAAGGGAGGTGCCGGGTGGAGCCCGCGAGACGTGAAGCATGGTGTGGGTGGCGGCTTTGTGCAACTCGTCAGGAGCGGCAGCGCGAAGGAAAGGGGCCTTGGCATCCTCCGGGAAAGAAACCGCCTCTCCAGGAAGACTTCGAGCGCGGTTCCTCTGCTGTCTGTGACGGGCTGGGGACGGGGTCGGGAGGGGGCTGCGGCCACGGCTCACCCCGAAGGAGAAACGACTGGAGCGTCCCTCTCCCCTTGCCTGCCCCCACCTCCTCGCCCCTGTCCATTTTGCCGCGGGAGGCGGCCGTCCGCCCCGGCCTTGCTCGAAACCGGCCGGCCTCAGGGCCCACCTCCGGATCCGCAGCCGCCGCGAACCGCGCTCCCCGCCCCCAGCTCCAGCCCCGGCGAGAACGGCGGGGAGTCTCCCCATCCCTCCCAACGCGAC